GCCGAGTTTAACATCGAAGATGATGAAACCATGCAAGATCTTTTTGAGGAATCAGATGAACACGGGGATGTTCTTGTGTTAACAATGCTGAAAATATATGTCACCTCTGAAGACATCAACAATATTGATGTTCCGCAAAATATGGATAACACTCAACCATCTGGTGATGTTTTTGGAGTTATTTTATCCGAAAAGGTTCCGTATAAAAGAGTCTGGACAGATCTAAACTTATTTCCACGGGCTAATGAGGAGCGAGAACATAATTTCTCCCCAATGCAATGGCATAAAGGGTCGCCAAGTTTGCATAATTTACAGGCCGAGTGGTAAAATTCAATTTACCTTGTTGTAGTATAATTGTTCATTTTATGTATCATATTTGTACTAACTCTTATATATTTCATAGGGGTTAGCGGCCAAATATGACTTTTATAAGTTATTAACCAAAATATACCTAATTTTGGAGGTGTGGATCATGCTGGTCCATCCGCGAGTCCTCAACAACTCGATAATGTGCATCATGGGCTATCTACAAATTATGAATTGTACGTTAAAAGATAAATTTAATATATTATGTTTGGATGACTCTAAAATACTCATTATTTTATTGGTTGTACATTGAAAACGAGCAACATGACGGTCGTGTCCTAACTCAGTTGCGCGATGACGATATATTAAATCAGGATATGGCAGATGCATAAAGTGAGGAAGATGACGGCGATTATCACAACAACGATAACGAGTTTAGAGATAATACGCTCTTTCCTGATGAGAGCGACGATGAGGAACCACACTTCACAGATGAGAGTGAGAATGAGCAACTCGGTTTGATGAGGGAGCATGATGCCACAACTGAGCATGCTCCGTATATGCAGACTCCACCTACCGCTAAACCAGCAGTGTATGAGTCACGTGTGCCCTTTCATTCAAGGGAGATTTCCTACCTTAATCACTTGCCATGTATGTCGGATGTGGATGCTCTCACAAGGGATCTTGAAGATATTCGTACAAAAATGTGGGATGAAATTAGACCAATAGGATACTACTCATCCCTATCAAACGACATAATGTGGTGCTCACGATCAGTAATGGAGCCGTCGGGGTAAACTATGAAGTCCCCGGTGACAACACTCTGAATGTAGGCATATCATCACCAGCATCGTGTGCCTTACCAATGTCACCTGGCAAATCCTCACCAATATCTCCACGTGTGCCTCAGTGCTGCTGGCCACCCCGTTCGTGCCAACCACCCTGACCATGCGGGCCACCCCTTCCTCTCTAAACATGCCTGGTACGTCTACGACGTGTTGGGGGCACGCCTGGCCTATGATGGTAATCCTCAGACGGTACATACGCTGCATCGAAACCTAATCGTGCATGCGCTCGTGCAACTACCAATGTGGCATTAGCAAGCACAGAAACCTGATGCCCCAATGGTGCAATAATGCTGCTCCGTTGCCTACATGCTGCTGCATCGCCAAATCTATCTGGTGAAAATGGTGTAATCCAATATCCTGCATATTATGTAATATATTAATTAAAGAAGATAAAAAATTCTAAAATTATACGTAAGTATATCAAACAACATACCAGTGCTTCGTACCTCCCGGCGTATGGAATGTACCCACGACCCTCCCGATGATAGAGATTACCTATCAGAGTGTGAGTAATACAACGATACCAAGCCATGTACTCATGCTCACTATCAACACCGTCATGTGCAGGGTCTGGCAGAGTCCTGAACTGTCTCTGATCCCAGTCCTCTATCTGGGCCTCTAGCCAGGCCAAGTATGCCTGGTCAACTCTACTACGCTCATCCTACTTGAAATGTGTGGCATGCCAACTGGGATGAACAGGTTTATGCTGTCGCTGACCAAATTATCGCAGGACTCTACCGAACTGATGATGCTCGACTATAACGGTACATATAAATGGGACCTCAGATAGCCACACAACTTGACCTCATGAGCAATAGTCTGGAAAACTAGCAATGAACTTGTTGCTATATTGGCTCCATATGAACTATTTATTAAACACAATAATAGCAAGTAAACGCAAGACAAATTAAGCATTAATAAACGTACTTAGTCAAATATTTACCCGAGCAGCATCCAGTAGATCCAACATATCCCTGTAAAGAGGGAGATAATGTCGAGCCTTGACGTCGCGGGAACGGCCTCTCCTATCTACCAACCTCCTAGCACGTGGTAGAAGTGGCAAAGGTGGTGCATCTAGAGCTAGCGGTCGAGGAGGAGGTTGCATCTTCAAGAATCTCTCCCAAGCCCTAACCTAATATTTATTGTGGACGTAAAATTACGCATTTTATAGTATATCTATGATAATCATGAAAAGAATTGATATGCTACCCATTGACGCCCTGCACAACTGCCTATAAAGGTATGCTAGAATGACACCAGCCCTATTGTACATGGGTAAGTCATCTAAGCGCCCCAGATAAGGAAAGAAACGTAGGCTCACAAGGTTCCCCGAAGTGTTCAGGAAAAGAATTCCACCAAATATCATCAAAAGCCACAGCCTTGACTGCCGCTCAATAGCCTTTACTGGTATATCATCTGTGATCTGCTGGTGAAGCGCCTCTAGGTGTTGCCTAAGAGGTGACAGATGTAATCTACTAACGCCACTAATTGCAGTTTGCTCAGCCGCTGGAATTTAGTGAGCCTCTCCAACATCTCTAAATAGTCATTCCTCTTATACTTCCTAACCGCTGGTGGGTAGTGGACAGCGAGACCATTAACGAGAACACCAACAAATACCTCCACGTCCTGTAGCGTGATGGTAGCCTCGCCGGTAGGTAAATGAAATGCATGTGTCTCAGGCCTCCAACGCTCAATCAGAGTCGTGATTAAGGGCTAATCGAACTACAACCGAGCGACCTCAACAAACTCCCAAAAGTTATCAATGCATCTCGGTTGGAAGTTCTGGCTAAGAAACTCTCCATCCCAGATATGTGAAGGACTATGGCGCGCCTGGAGCGTATGTAGCTCACGAGAAACATGTCCATGATGAACAGTCGGGCGATCCATAATGATATCTGCAAATTGAATAATATTAAGTAAAATATTATTCACTTTACTCGTTTAACGTCTCAAAATATCTTGCTATATTTTATATTATTATTTAATTCATAAATTTTATATTACTAATTATTTTTATACAAAGTATTTATTTATATGTTAGTTTTTAGAATTTTACGACTCAAATTCGACAAGGTCTTATTTGTACTGACAACTTTTTCTCATTTTATTTGTCATTAAAAGAATACTAAATATTTAATTTGTTTAACTTATCGAGATAATTTTAAATATTTTTATTAATTATTTTATATATATATATATATTATTAATTATTTATTTCTTTCGTAATAATTTATATGTTAATTCGTTATCTTTTAAGGCAAAAATCTCGGCAAGGTATCTTTTATACTGACAACTAATTATTTTATTCATCAGCTAAAAAATATTAAATATTTAATTTATTTTACTTATCGTGTTTTAATTGATTCTTATCAAATAATACTTTTATTATACAATTGTTAATTAATTAGTATATGATCCGTAATTGATTACTATACGTTAATGACGGTGCATATTTGTTGTTCTACGCTAAATGACACTAAAGAACACTAAAGGAACATATTTACTATTCTACAATTGTAAAAATACTCAACAACTAACATAAAATATAATGTATTTATTGTTCTACGCTAAAGGACAACACTAAAGCACACTGATGGACACTGAAGGTACATATTTATTGTTTTACATTCATAATAATATTAACCAACTAACATAAAATATTCAACAACTTAAAACAATGGCATAATAAATATTTTCAAAAACATTTGCTACAAATAACATAAATTTGGCTAAAAAAATAGCACAACACACACACAAAATCATGGAATAGATTACTACGAACTATATATATATATATATATATATATATATATATATATATATATATATATATATGTTTTTGACCGGAGAAAATAAGCGACTTTTTTACAACCAAATCGAGCACAAATCACGTTCAAGTCCACGAGGCAGCCTTGAATCGTGTCTTTTATCAATTACATAATAACGACAAAAGATTTCGGGGATCGAAAGTGGGCTCCAATGTAGGTT